TGAGTGTGTGTGTGTGAGTGTGAGTGTGTGAGTGTGAGTGTGAGTGTGTGTGTGTGTGAGTGTTAGTGTGTGTGTGTGTGTGTGTGTGTGACAAATTACCACTTTCCTTTCAGGTCAGTGATGGAAAAATGATAATGCCTCATCACATTTAAAATGCCTAACATATCGTTTTTTAGTTACTACCAATACAGATACCAGTGCAGAATTTAATGATGGGGCTGAGATGTTTTTTGTTTAGTTGATTACTAATGAAAATGTACGAGCACGAGCCTCGGTGGTACAATGATACAATGTTGACATTAAAACTGCATATGCCAATTATCTATGCAAATTTAGAAGCTCTTCATCGCTTGAATGCACCCAAATCAAACACTGACAACTTCAAAATTTGGTGCATGTCATTTGCCTGTGGTCTTTTGTGGAAAGTCAGTATAATTATTCTTGGCCAACATGCACACTTCCCGTGGAGTTTAGAAGTCTTCTGGATTATGAGCTACTGGCAAGGGATCAAGGCTTGGTTAGTTATCCCTGTTATCCCCTGCTGGTAGAAGCCAGAAATGTCTGGCAACAAAATATGGTATCAGTATCTGTGTATTTTTTTTGCTAAATTGTTTGAACGCACACTGCGATTTTAAAATCTGCCTTTAAAGTTTTTTGTTTTTTTTGCGCAGGAATGTAGTTGTTTACTTATAGAATATCTTTTTAGAGCTATCGCAGAAAGAATACTTTGTGATGTCTATCAGTATAACAAAGTTGGTATTTGTTGTTCTGCTTTTTGTTTTCTTTGTGTTGATCTGGCCTTTTTATTTTGAATGCTGCCTTGTCTTGGCTATTTTCTGTTCATATTTCCTGATTGTGTCCAACTGAATCTTGTTTTATTAATCCTGTTATCAATTATATACTGTATTCGAGCTCTTCATTTATTTGTCCAGTCTTGTCTTTGTGTGGTTGTAAAGTTTGGTTTCACTTTATTTTAAGGTGTCCTTGTTACAGTGTATTAACTACATGCACTTACTATATGGTTAGGGTTAGCATGAGGGTTTGGTTTAGAATTAGTTGCATGCAATTATGCATAATTTATTGTTATTATGAAGGTGCAATGAGTTGATAGTGTTTCTGTCAACATAATTGAAAAGACGTGTTAGGATTAGGGAGAATTTAACTATTTGGAAAAAACGTATGAACCCACATTATGAAAAAGTGATCTTTTCATATATTTTACTTTCCCAGGGGTCCACTTAAAATGTTAGTAAAGTTTTATCAATTTCATCATATTTGCTGTTGTGTGAACTAACACACTACAGCATGCCTTCAGGGAAGAATAAGGATTTTAACCAAAAAGTTCAATGTTGTCAGAACAAGGCAAGTTATCATATTTCTTCTATATGTGTGTATATTATGAAATATATTATACAATATTATGAAAGAAGTCTCTTATGCTCACAAATACTTTTTTTTCTTTCTTTTGAATATATTTTCATATATAATTCACTCATGTGATGGCAAAGCTGAATTTTCCGGTCTTTAGTGTCACGTGATCCTTCAGAAAACATTTTAATATGCTAAATTATTTTGGATTATTGTTTGTGCTCAATTATTTATAATGGTTCTTATTATTATAATTGTTGAAAACAGCTTTTGCTGCCTAATGTTTTGTGGAATCTGTGATAATTTGTTTCAGTCCAAGTTTAATGGACAGCAATTATTTAAAATAGAACTTTCTTTAATGTTGCCATCAATTTAATGTGTACTTGCTGATTTACAGTATTATTATAATTTTTTTACCTTTTCTTTTAAAAAAAAAAATCTTACTAACCTTTTAAATGTTGGTGTGCCACAATTTCCAGAAAATATTAGGCAGCTGTTTTCAACATTGATAATAAGAAATGTTGTTTGAGCAGCAAGTCAGCTTATTAGAATGATTTCTGAAGGATCACGTGACACTGGAGTAATCGGCTCCTGAAAATTCAGCTTTGTGTAAGAGGAATAAATTACATTTTAAAATATATTACATTAAAGGGGTCATATGATGCGATTTCAATTGTTCCTTTCTACTGTAAGTATGTTTTGTTATTAGTTTCAGTATTTGCTATTGACTGTTCAAATGCAGAGTTTTGCACAGCACAGAGTAACGCGTCGTGTGTGTGTGTGTGTGTGTGTGTGCGCATGTGTGTATTCATACACGCACATACACACTCTATAGTATGTAACACATGCTTTCACTGTGTCCCCTGCGCATCATTTGCAGGTCCATAGTTTATCACTGAGTCATTCTGCAATCCCCTCTGCTTCAGCATTTTCCATATGTGTACAGATTTCTGCTCTAACTATGTGATACTCACAAGATTTGTATAGCATTCCAAGGAGTCAACGCCAGAATCACACTCAGAATCACACTCAGCATCTCCTAAAAAGGAGATCTCCTCCTGCGCAATGATATTACGCAGCGCCTGAAAATAGGCTAACTTGCACAGGGAGCGTGCTGGGTACTATTTTCAGGCGCTGTTTAATATCTTTGCGCCTGCTG